TTAAAGAATCCATTGTATTCTCTAGGATTGACTTACGGTCAGGATACTCACAAATCCTTGTTAAGAAACTTGAACAAACTGACGATTGAGAATTGTTATCCTTTACTGCGAACTAACAACTTATTTGGTCAGATACAAAGAACGTGCTTGTTAAAAGCTATAGACAGCTCAACCTTGTCGAATGAACCGATGCCTTGTTATGAAGCGAATAATGACCTAATTACTTATCATCGGAAACGTCAACGTAATCTAACTGAATAAATAAAGTGAAGTGATGCTCACAAGACAAATCAATAAGATAGTTGACTCGTTCGGATATCCTATTGACGTGAAAGATCGTGACCGTGATGATGATACAAAACATGACGTGAAACAGTGACACCAACAATGAAAGACTGAAGAATGAAGAGAATGTAACTCGCACTGGCCATACAACATAATATAATATTTACGGATAATATCATTCCGACACAAATACAACTAGGATTACATGAAGTATTATTACAAATGTTACTCCAAATCTAATCCTCCGGGATTTGCGAACTCATCATAATTAGCCCCAAAAGCCGGAAAAAGCTTTAGCGAATTCTAGCTTGTCTAAAAGCTCACCAACAAAGAAAGAAGAAATGAAAAGTTTTCTCTGATTGGAAGCCATGAAATTCTGTCTCACCCATCGTCTAGAAATTTGATTAGGTTATTAAAATAACCGTCAATGTTCAGGAGACCAATGGGTCTATTGTGTAACCCTTCGGAAGCCCACGAGATCAAGGTGAACAAACCTTCCATAGTGTCAACTCCTCTGGGAAGAATGATGAAAGCTTCCACGGCCTGATTCATCTCAAAAATACTTGTAATAGTTGCTGGAAACTGTATGCTCTACACCATACGTAGGTCCATAGACACCTCGTGTTGCTATGTACCCAAGAATGAAACCTCTAACGAGACCACCATTGGTAAAGACTGTTGAAGCAACAGCTCCTTGAAGGCCAACACTACCTCCTCCATAGGCAAGTTTAATCTTTCGCCTTATTAATTCCCTTCTTAAATTTACCGCAGTAGCCATAAACTTGGGATTTCTACCAAGGGAATGACTGCCAAGTAGACCAATGAA